AAATGTAACCTGATGACACACCCTCACCCAGAAACACTTAACACTTCAGGCACCTCAGTGATTTGAGTCTTGAACGATTTGCTCTTCAGCCATTGTCAAAAAACGCTGATATCTTTGATAAGTAAAAAACATTTTTAGCAGGGTGCAGTGGTTCATGTCTATAATCCCAGCAGTTTGGAAGGCTAATGCAGGCAGATTGCTTGAGCTCAAGAGTTGAAGACCAGCTTGGACAACACAGTGAAACCCTGTCTCTACAAAAAATACAAAAATTAGCCCGGTGTGGTGATGCGCGCCTGTAGTCCCAGCTGTTGAGGCTGAGGTGGGAAGATCACTTGAGCCTGGGAGTCAGAGGCTGCACTGAGACAAGAATGGAGTGCCACTGCACTGTAGCCTGGGTGACAGAGTTGAGAGCCTGTCTCAGAAAAAAAAAGGGGGGGGGGTTTAATTTGTCCTCTAAAGATTGAGAAGATTTAGCAGTATAAAATAAACTAGAAATGTGTGAGGGGAAAAAAGGCAAGGCATTAAGGGTATGGTTGACACAAGAATGTCATGTCATCTTGCTGAGGTGAACCAAAATTTTAACTTTCTAGTAGCCTATGTGAAAAGGAAAATTCTCTGCTCAGAGAAGCAAGAAATACTTGTGAATATAAATCTAGAACAATTTCCATTTCCTGTAGTATCTCAGAGAAAACACTTCAGAGTGGATCATCTTGTCTCTTGGTTTGTTCAGTTAATATCATGTGATACCAGTAAATTATAAAGCAGTTCAGATTTTTACATGAACTGGTTAAGTTGAAAAAATTTCCCATTCCATTGAAAAAAGTAGAAGATGACGCTACCATTTTTCTCTGTTGGCCAACAGAACAAGCATTGTGGAATGGAAGAACTCCCATTTGGTGAGACAAAGTCAAAGGCAATAAATATATTTTCTATATTTAGGATGATATACATCAAATCTTTGTCTTTCTAAATCTCACTTGACTAGTACTGCTGCTACCTTATAGGGTGCCTTTCTGCCAGTTAGAACCAAGGGCCCCCCAGGCAAATCTAGCATCAAGATCTGTAGTTCCACCTTTTAATCTGCTCCCCATCCCTCAGTAGTTCTCCCTCCTGATAAGCTGTTCTTCTCTCTTATTCCAGGTTACCTTTATGCAGTGTGCATTCTGCACAAAAATATGCAGAGATCATGGAAATGACCTGAACATAACTATTAATTAGGCACTTTGGGAAATAGCTAGCTAAGTAGCATTGTGTTTCATATTTCTTTTTTTTTTAACTATTAGAACTTTACACAATGCCTCTTAAACTGAAGTGTACATCAGAATCATCTCAGAGCTTCTCCAAAATGCAGATTTCTGGATCCCCCAAACTCAGATGTTGATTATAACAAATAAGGGTTAAAAACCAGGAAACTGCAATTCAATAAGCACTGTTAAGTGATTCTAATTTGAGAAAAGCTGTCTTAAGGGTAGATAAATAGTAAAATTTAAAAAATCTTACGGACGGGGTTTCAAATCATGTCATTATTTTAAACTGTGTAATCCTGGGGAAACTAATCTATCTTAAAGACTTCAGTTTCTTCCATTGTAAATTGAAAATTAAAAGTTACTTGAGCAGAGGGTCATTTTAAGGATCAAATGAGTCTGAATTTCCTACTACAACACCTGGAGGGTAGAAAGCACATTATAAATGCTGACTGTCATTATTATCACAACATATTTTCAAACCTTGACTCAGGCTGGTGCCAATGTTTACAGAAGTTTTTCTGTGGGTTCCTGCAGCATTTATTCTTCTTTTATAACCTTGGCTCAGGGCTTAAAAGTGCTTTTCATTAGTGTTTCTGCATTCTCCAAGAGAAATCTCTTGCTTTTTTGAAGTCCCTAGCTATAGAGTAATTACCCTTTTTTTTTCTTACTCTCTGCATATTCTTGTAACCACCCTGGTTTTATTATATCAGATCTCATCATGCCATTTATCCAGTTTGCCACATGTGGCAACAGTGATTATTTAAAAAGAAATTATAGTTTACTCCCTACCATATAATTATGAAAAGTTGAATTCTACGCCCAAACCTCTTTGCAGATAATTTTTGGCTAAATAATCTGAAAACTGCATGCCTGATAAAATTGGAGGAAACTGAGGCAGGGGAATGCCTTCAATCAAGGCATGACAAGCCCAGTTTGAATTAGCTAGACTTTAATTAGGACACAAGAAGCAATTTAGAGATAATCTCACTAAATCAAAAAACTGAATGATGAGCTTGAGCATTACTGTGCAGAGAAACGTTTTTCCTGTTGAAAGAGACTTTGGGGCATCTGAGAGCTGCATGAAGTGGAAATGGACATGAATTATTTTTAAAGAAATGTGTACATTTATATATAACATTTCCACATCAAAGAACACTTTCAAAGTGATTACAAATTCAGTATGGCTAACTCAGAGGGACTGATGTTGTTTTGTTATGTAAGATATTAAAGTTTTACTCCAAGTGCTTTGGTAGGAGGTGGAATGCCAAGAAGATTTTGGATAAAACAAATATCTGGGTCCAGCATTTGCTAGTTATTATTTTTCTCTCCTCCTCTTCTTTTTACTCACATTCTTTTTTGGTACAATGTTCTTCAAACTGTGTTTCAGAAAATATGTATGATTCCCACCACTGTTATCTAGGCTGTTTTTCTGGCTCAATTGCACAATATTGTGGTAAAGGATTCAACATCAGTAAGAGTGACTGGAGTATGAATACAAAAGAGGATCCACGCTGAAATCTTTTACTAGAAAATTAGTTGCAAAACATATTACTTATGGAAATTACAAGCACATTTATTAAAATAGTGTTAAAAAAAACCAAGTCCCTCACCCAAAATCCTTTTTCTTTTATTATTTTTTTTAACATCATAACCATTTTTTTTTTTTGGAGGCAGGGTCTCACTTTGTCACTCAAGCTGGAGTACAGTGGCTTGATCATGGCTCTCTGCAGCCTTGATCTCCTGGGCTCAAGAGATCCTCCCACCTCAGCCTCCCAAGTAACTAGGTCTACAGACACCTAGTTTTTTGTAGAGAGAAGGTTTTGCCATGTTGGCCAGGCTGCTCTTGAACTCCTGACCTCAGGCAATCTGCCTGCCTTTGCCTCCCAAAGTGCTGGGATTACAGGCCTGAGCCACTGTGCCCAGCCATCTCAATTAACCACTTACACTTCAGTGGTACTAAGTACAATTCACATTGTTGTGCACCCTTAGCCATTTGATGAAGAATTTAAGACTCATTTTTGTATCAGTAGATTGTGGAGGAGCATAACAGTTCTTCACGGAAAGAAGGAAAGAGCATCCTGAGAGACAGCTTTTACCTTCTCTCACACACTTAGGGAGAGGTTTCTGACAGCCATTAGCACTGTGCCTGGGAAAAGATTCATGGCAGTGCTGGGATGGGGATTTCAGACTCTTAAATATGATTTTGGCCGTCCCGTGTCCTCATTCTTTTTAGACCTCAGCCTTGACATTTTTAGACTCCAAGCATGAAGTTTCTTGAAATTTTGCATGAATAATAAGGCTGCAACAAGGGCAGGCTCCTCTTCCTCAGTAGCAGCATCTATTTGTAGAATAGCAGCAATGACAATGTCATACCCCGAATGGGCCTACAGAAAAAAAGAATATGTACATTTATATGTATATACATATTAATATAGGAATTAATATAGTAATTAAAAAAATGCACAGTTTCTGAAAGCTGGGATGATTTTTGTCTAATTGTTAAAATAACTGCATTTACTTAAATTTTAATTAAAATACTGGGAAATAAAATATTAATAAAAATCTTGCATTATGTGCAGAATTCAAAATTTTACTTTGCATCAAAGGAAAAACTGCAAGGATTTTGACATTTCAAAGCCAGTCTGTAAAACTATTTCTGTTAATGGCACATGATAGCTCTACTTTAAGTACAAAGAAATACCCAACACCCTTTGTCAATCTTCAGGGAAAATAGGTTCTGAATTATGAGAGCTGTGACCCATGAGTGACTTTCAGGAACACATTTCTGTGTTAGATGCACTGCCCTTGTGCTCTGAAGGCTTTGATGTTCTTGAGGGCAATTGGACTCATTATTCTGCATTATCTTCATCTTTTTCTGGAGGAAACATAGCTCCTCTAGTGTAACAGAGGAAACCTTGTGGATGAAATGGAAATATCTTACAAAATGTAAACCTCTCATATTAAAAAGTTAAATTCCCAGGATCTCCCTCTAATGGCTAATGATTAGCGATCATGGCGTGTGGAGTACATCTCATCTTCACTTTCTGCACGTGGGTCCAATGCAGGAATTGGAAAATAGACCCTCACGTTGATAGATTGCTAGGACTTTGTGAGATTTATGAAGAAAGTTGTCAGTGTTTTTAAATGATGGCTAATTTCACCCAGAAGCATGGAAGAAGACATTCATTCAGTCATTGTCTGCTTATTAATAAAAACTTCTGCTTTACATAGTGGGGCTGAGTTGCACTGCAAGTGATGCTGTCTGTCTTTCTGACTAAATTTAACCAGTGGCTTTAACTGGCTTTTTTTTTTCCTGAATTAAGATCATTTGGGCCACACCTGTGAGCTGAGGTCTAGTTCAGATTTGTTGGAGAATGCTCACCCATCAGTAATTTTTTGACTGATTCAAGCCCCTTGACCAGTGGACATTAGAGGATGAAAGAGAAAGTGGAATACATTAAGCAACTTAGTGAAGAAAAATCATAAGACATACACTTTTGACATTTTGTGACATGTAAATTATAATTAATGTGTAAATTTGTACCAGTTACTTGACTCAAGAGCTCGAAACTTTCTGTAATGGGTTTGAAGCACAAAATTACAGTGTGTATAGTCAGAGTGCAGCCTTGACTTTCGATAATGGTTATTCCCTTTGGACTGGAAAGCAAGTTTGGCTTTAGGCTGCGGAGAGTTTTCAGTGCCGTGCCAAGGCATTTGACTGCTCTTTCTTTCTTATTCTCCGCTGTCTTGCAGACCAGACGACGTGCTTCTGCATCGCACTCATGATGAGATTGTCCTCCTGCATTGCTTCCTCTGGCCCCTGGTGACATTTGTCGTGGGCGTTCTCATTGTGGTCCTGACTATCTGTGCCAAGAGCTTGGCGGTCAAGGCGGAAGCCATGAAGAAGCGCAAGTTCTCTTAAAGGGGGAGGAGGCTTATGGAAAGCAAAGCACAGAAGCTGCACTCCTTGGCACACGTCCACCTGTGGAACCGGTGTTTCCTGGCGCAGGAGATGGACAGGGCCACGACGGGGCTCTGAGAGGCTCATCCCTCAGTGGCAGCAGAAACAGGCACAACTAGAAGACTGGAACCTCAAAGCTCGTATTTCGTCCGCTGTAGCAATGGCTAAAGGGTCAAGCTCTTAGCTGTGTGGAGTAACTATTTCAGAAAACCCTATAAGAAGTTCATTTCTTTCAAAAGTAACAGTATATTATTTGTACAGTGTAGTATATAAACCATTATGATTTATGCTACTTAAAAATATTAAAATAGAGTGGTCTGTGTTATTTTCTATTTCCTTTTTTATGCTTAGAACGCCAGGGTTAAAAAAAAAAAAAGTTGAAGACATCTGGGTTTCATTTACTTCTGCTAGGTTAAATTTTACTTGACAACAAGGATTCCTGCCGAAGTCTGAACCTTAATGTGTAACCCTCAGTTTCCACTATTAAAAGAGTACCTTTTGATGTCTGCTTGGAAAATGAATAGTGCACTGGTAACTCAGTCTCCAGTTATCTCTGTGTCTCTTAAGCAGGGGATTCTAAAAGATTAGGAAAACATCCTCCAAACTGCCTTTGCCTAATCATTTATTTTTCGCCAGGTTACCTCTTGAGAGAGAGAGGTAATTCTGAAGACTTCTATCTCAAAAAGCACTGGGCTTCTTTATTCTTCTGTTCTTGTTGTTTTCAATGGATTTTTAAACATTTGTGTGCAATACAATATACACGATGGGAAGGACACTCTTCAGCTTAGTGAAATGCTGTTTTCTTTTTTTTTTTCTGTAGGTTAGAAAACATCAAAATCAGTTCAAGCATTTTGTTTTTTTTTCTTTTTGTCCTTGCCTTGATGTTGTGAGTATTAAAACAGAAGGATTGCTGTCATTGTTCAGTTCGCTTGGACACACCTGGAGATGCAACCCAGCTCACATCACTGCTACCGATGGGCTGTCTGTGCCTTTATCAAAAGTTTACTGAGAAGACCATATTTCTTTGAATCTGTTTAGGAACTCAAATTCCATGTATGAATCGCAGGTCTCAGTGAACATCAACCTATTTATTTACTACATAGAATCAAATCTTTGTTTAGGTGAGATGTACATCGCTAGTGGAGGAACGGCTGAGGCATAATTTCATTTTGTTTTCTTCTGATATTCTTCAGACATGCTTCTATTAGAATAAAGGTAAATTGGAATTTAAGGACAAGTTCCCCTCAGTTATTTCTACAGGGCTCTCATTTATATATATATATATGAAATGATGTTTCCTGACTTATACAATCCACATACCAATGTTTTCTTAACCTTAGAATGTGAGTAACTGAAAATTACAGTCTGTGGAAAGGTGTTGAATTGAGTATAATCTTTTTCTGTTTATTTTTATGTTTCGTTTTTTAACAGATGCAGGTCTTGCCGTGTTGCCCAGGCTGGAGTGCAGTAGCTATTCACAGGTGCGATCCTAGTGTACTGCAGCCTCAAACTCCTGGGCTCAAGCAATCCTCCTGCCTCAGCCTCCCAAGTATCTGGGGTTACTGGTGTGCATCACCATGCTTGGCTCCAATCATTTTTTTCCTAATTAAGAAGTTACAGTTTCACTGTGAAAAGGGCCTTGAACACACAATTGATGGCATCTTTTGAGGCAGCTCCAGTGCCTTGACTTCAATCCCCGTTTCCGCTTGCACCGTCCGTGTTGTCTTAGCAACACTATCTGAAGCGTAGGGTAACAGGAACCTGGGAATCCAAGAAACCACCATCTCTGCATCACATTATGGGCAATGAAGTCTGTTTTATCCACTTCATCCAGTTGTCTATTATAATTACTTGATTACAAAGTAGATAAAAATAGTGCATGGATATACATTTGTGTTGACAAAAGGAGAAGTTGATATATACTAATCTGAGTTTTCATTTATCAGTTTGATCCTCATACATTTACATTAAATGCTTTCATTTAAGCCCCAAAAGTATATGCAGCTGTATTTTGTAGGTTGATTTTTGGAAAAGGGGAGAAGCACACTGAATTCATAAGGTGACATGTAGTCTTAAGATGTTACTTGTTTACAGTCAATTAAATTTGAGGCACCTTATTTATACTTGTTAAAGGTAAAATCCAAAGGAACAAGGAGAGGATATTTTAAGGTCATAAAAGGTAAGTAAGGTAACCTTTTTAATGTTTTCATTCTCCTTTTGTATAAATCAGAAAATGATCTAAACTGCTGTAACAAAGAGACCCCAAAATATGATGGTTCATGTAAGATATTAGTTTATTTTATCCTCACATAGCAATCCAGAAGTAGCTTCGTTTTGTAAAGGTAATCAAGGGATCTAGTATTCATTTACCCAGCCTGTGAAAAAAGAGAAAGTTGGGAGCAAGCTATTTGCTTTTAAGGAAGTTCCACCCATCGCTTCTGCCCACAGTCCATTCATGAATAATTACTACATAGCTATACCTAGCTTCAAGAAAGACTGGGATGTGTCTGTAACTAGATGGATGCATGCCCTACTAAAACTCCAGAGACAAGATTCTATTACTAAAACTGAAAAGAGGGGAGTGAATACTAAAGGTAGAGACAAAAATGATAGCAATCAATGGCCTGTGCCATCATAATCTACTGAGCAGGCATGATGGAGATCCCTTGGCCCAGCAGAGAGTTTCTTGGTAAAACCATGCATCTGCTATCTGCGAGAAACTCCTTTGTCGATTGTCTTCTGTGGCCCCTACTTTGACCTCAGGAAATTCTTGCTCATCAGCTTCTTTGACCCCGTCTGAAACTCTTGAGAGGCATCACAGCTTTTGCAGCCCCTGCTTGCTGGTGCAGATTCTTAGACCTAGATTGCCTTTCACTATGTTGGCCAGGCTGGTCTTAAACTCCCAACATTTGGCGATCTGCCCGTCTCGGCCTCCCAAAGTGCTAGAATTACAGGCGTGAGCCACAGCGCCAGGCCGCCATGGTGACTATTGAGAAAAACTGAATAATAATCACATTTCCTGCTCCCTGGAAAGCAGAAGCAGTTGTACTTCATGGCGTCGTGTTATCTACTTGGAAACTTATTTTTTGATCTTACTGCAACTACTTTTCTTAGTTCCTCACTGAAAACATCAGCAAGGAGCATCCAATATATATTGACCACTCTGCTTTTTTCTAACTGCTGCCTTTCAAATTGTTGCAGATGTCAGTTTTACCTAATGATTGGTCAAAACATAAGGAGGGTCTCTAGTTTTCCATCCTGCAGTATCTGCTTCCGCACTGCCTGTTGCCTGGCCATAATACCAAAGCCACATATTTTAGACTTTTGTTATGATAGCACTTTTCCATTTCTGTGTATCAGTCAGCTAGAGCTGCATAACAAATAGCAAAGACTGGGTGGCTTAAACAACCAAAATTTGTTTTTTAACAGTTCTGAAAGTCAGAAGTTCAAGGTCAAAGTGTTGACAAGTTTGGTTTCTCCTGAGGCCTCTCTCCTTGGCTTGTAGATGGCTCCCTTCTTGCTGTGTCCTCACATGGCATTGATCTAGGCACTTGTGCCCCTAATGCCTCCCTGTGTGTTTCAATGTTCTCTTCTAAGGACACTAGTCCTATGAAATTAGGGCCCCTCTCTATGACTTCATTTAACCTTAATTACTTCCCAAAAGGCCCTATCTTCCAATATAATTACACTGGGGCTTTGGGCTTCAACCTATAAATTTTTGGGGCAAACAACTTAATCCATAGTATTCTGGTACCAAATTTTAGTGTATAGGCTAAGCCACTGTAGCAGAGAAACCTCCAAATACTGTAATTCCAATAAGATAACTAATTTTCTTTCTTATAGCCATCAGGAGGTAGCCCATGAAATTGTCCAGGGACTTATATTTATTCTACCATTATTTTTACTCTGTTATTATTTTATTATTATATTTATTCTAGTTTTATTCTGCCATTCCCTAGAGTGTCCTCTTTATAGGGGTCAACCAGTGGGATGGAGAAAAGTAAAGGACAAGCATTTACATTTGAATAAAAGGAGATGGAAGTTGCACACATCAAGTTTATGTACATTCCTTTGGTAAGAAATTTACTGCAGAGGAACCTCTTGCTGAGCAGCCATGCCCTCTAAAACCTAGGACATAGATTCTGTTATTAAAATAAGGGAGAATGAAAAGAGGGAATATTATCAGTTCCTTTCTACATTCCTCTTGTATACATTGTATATTTTGTATTGAGGATCAGAAGAGAATTGGACCTAAGGAGATGATAGTTTCATGAAATTTAGATGATTCTTTACATTTTTATTTATTTTAAAAAGTTTACTCAATTTATTTTAATTTATTTTAGTGATTAAAATTAATCAGAATTTTTTAAAAATCAGCAAGAGAAAAAACATAAGGGAAGCTTTGTTGCTTTGCAAAATAGGGATATATTTCAGGAAGGTAAGGTAAAGGGAGAGGGCTAGCATGGAGTAGGGAGTACAGAAGTGGGATGTAGAGACAGCCAAGAGAGTTTGAAATATTCAAAGAATATATACAATAGAATCTGTAGCTGTTTTAAAAAATATATCATTTCCATCTCTCTGAATATATTCCAGTTGTAAAAAAATAATGTATTGAGTTTCCTATCATAGGGAAGATTTTAAAATTGTAGGAAATAACAAAATATTCAGAAGCCTACACAAGGTATTAAAAAAGGGGACAGGGCTATATCGGCTTACTAGCTTATTAGAATGAGTTTGGTTCCTTATGAGGGATAATCTAGAGAAAAGAGGCATGGAATAAGAGCTTTGGAACCAAACAATCTGAATTTGGATCCTGGCTCTCCCTTTTGGCATCTGTGTGATCTTGGATAAGCTACCTAATTTCTATTATAGCTGTGTTATCTCAACTATAAAATGAGGATATTGATATATCATTGGAGAGGACTAAATGAGACAATGCAAAATGTTTACTTAGCACAATGCCTGATTCATAAATATTAACTGATATTGATGATGGTCATTGTGGTGGCGATGATGGTGATAATAATGGTGATGATGATGGTGGTGGTATAGCATTAGTGAAGTAAAAAGAAAAACTGAATTCAAAATTAATTTTCCTAAAAATCTGTGTTTTTATTTCTCAGATGCTTCTAACTTAGTCCCCATCAGTCTAAGACTGAAACAATATTGGGATTTTCCTTTTTGGAAGTTCTCTAATTGGCAAGTTGTTTTTATTTCCAGAACTCCAACTCAAATTCTCCATTTTATTCAGCATTAAATAACTTTCAAAATATGTCTATTTTGAAAGTCTCCACTTCCTCATACTTAGCAAGTTTCAGCATTATTCAAAGATGTGCCCTCTCTTTGATGCAAAGCAATTACTGGGATACTTTCTTTTCTCAGAGAGGAAATCCAAAGAACATGATCCTTTCTTCCTGGCCCCTGTACAACATTGAAAACAACTGGGGTAACTTTTGATTAATGCATCCTTTAAAAAGATGCAACATTTCCATCTCCAAGAAGTTTGAATATACAAAA